TTTTTTTTTTTTTTTTTACTTCTTAGATGTTTGGGGTTTCTTTTTAAAAGATAGATTTGGGACACAGCAGTACTTGTACAAAGTATGCTAGATTTAAACTGCAATCTACCTAACGCAAACATAAAAAGAAAGAAATCTGCAAGCTGAATTCAAAGACATGAACAGTATATATAAATGGTTTGAAGATGAATGAAATCTCATGAAATCCACATTGAATTCATCTGTCTTATTCATTTTCTCCTCCCATGCCCTGCTGTGCAATTCCATGGTGTCATGACTGCATACATTTAGCAATTTAACTAGAAAATAAGCAATGTGAATGACTGAGCATGAAAGTCAAAAGTTTGAGCCAAATATCAAACAGCAAGGACAGTGTATTGTGTAACAAAGAGAAAGTGGGCCTTTAAGCTGGGACCAGACTGAAATGGTGGCAAAAGGACACATAATATTCATTTTTAACCATGCTCGCAGAAACAGGGGGAACAAAGTTAGCTGAAACCAAAAATGGTGTTTGCTCTAAAACAAGCCATAGGTGTTTTTTAAGCTGGAATAATACAAAGTGAGTAGCCTAGGCATGCATTTTATCTGAGGCAGGCAGGTTATATGTTAGAAGAAAAAGAGCAAAAAAATATGTATATAAAAGAAAGATTCGAAATGCACATCATCACATCCAGCTAGACATCAGGAGCTTCCTACTTACTTCCATATTGCTGTCTAGCGATCCTGCACTGCTGCGACGCCCACGCTTGCCTGCCCAGGACATGCAATACCATAGATTAGAGACTGAGACAAGACCTGGGTGAGAAATAACTGATTTCCCTAAATTACTATAGGAGTCTCTAAATGCAACTAGAGGGGCCTCAGGGGAGTAGTTTTAAAAAGTACATTGGACTGGTACAATAGTGATTAGGGCAGAAACTTAAAGTTGAATGTCATTAGTTAAATTAAGTTTCCGTACCTGAAAGTACCCTACATAAAAGATCTGGTCAAATTGCCACTAATGTTTAAAAAAAATTCTCAAAATATGTATATTTTAACCTGTATTTTTAGTAATAGGGCTGCAATGTTTGCTGCTGGCTAGGATTTCCAATTGCTCAATTTCACAGAAACAGATTCTCAGAAACGTTTGTAGAACAGCTTTCTGCAAACAGCAAATGTTAAAAAATGGTACGTTCTTGTATTTCAACTGGGAGGGGAAAGGGAAGGAGCATCTGTTTCATTGTTTGAATGTTTTATTTTGAACCCCAGTGGATTTCATATAATCTTCTTTCATGATGATTAAAAACAAAACTAAACTTAATTTTTAATCAATCAAACTTAAATGTTCCTTCACATTATGGCTATATATGGTTTGTTTAGCTGTGCAGTGCATTACCTGTAAGCATGAAGGCTGATATAAAGAAGTTCCAGCTTTGCTAATTGAGCCTGATTTTCCCAGATTACCAGAACTAATTACCAAAACTAATCTTACATGTAGCACCCGAGTTTGACTTCATCAGTCTTTAGAACCTACATACTGGTGCCTAAGTACTGGATGCCTAAATACAGGATTAAGCACCCGGACTGAATAAGTAGGCTTCCCATTTTCTATCAAAGCCACAGAGAAAAAATGGATGTATGTATCTTTTAAAATTTAGCCCATTGAACAATATGCTAGGAAACATTAGAATGTTATGTTGGGGGATGCTCACATAAAGATGATGTCCTTGAAAGGCAGCCAGATTCTCCCAACTTCTCTTTAAATCACATACATTCCCTATGTTTCTCCCTTGTTATATAGCAGCTTTCCTCAGACGCCTTAATGTTATAATAAACCTCTCTCCTATGTAGGGCTTGAGAACCCATCATTACTGCTCCAAAGGGCATTGGATAGGGATGAATATGACATGCTCCTTTTCTCCCTCATTCTGCCTGAATTCCCACTTTTTGCAACAACTGGCAATTCTCAACATAAATCCTTTACACTGAGATTATGTTTCTAAAAATGAGAAATTCCCTTGGAAATGGTGTTTGCCAAAATTCTTGTAGCACTTGCTTTATGGCTTTTTAGCTCAACTGAAAACGTAACTGCACTGCATCGCATACCATCAGGGAAAACTGGTTTTGATTATCTTAGAATTCTTGGTGCACAGTCAGCAATGAATTTTGCTCTCATTTTATTGATATCAATAATGGTTGTTCCAACAGTCAAATCACTTGGATTTGCCAATTTTAGTGGAAGATAAATATCTCTCTACCTAATTGTGAATATTTGGCGGGGAGGTGGATGGCTGGTATAGGCAAATAAGAACCTATTAGAAGAAAATCAGACACCTGAAGAAGGATAGGAATACCTAATATCTCCCATTTAATGTAAGGCAGGAGTGAAAGTAATCAGAATAGGGAAGAATGCAGCATGTATGGACAGAGAAAGATGGACAGATGCATAACCTAGAAAATTGTGGGGAAAGGACCACTAGCAGAAGAAAATGGTAGAATCATATTTGTAACCTACATAATTATCCTTATTATATCACTAATTACTACTTTAGAATAAAGAGCCTACTGGTAAATTCTTCCAAGGGAAAAGGTTTACTTTCTTAAACACAAAGTGAAGCAAGTTTTCTATGTGCCATAGACAGCTATTTATTAGAAATGGAAACAAACAATCCTATAAGGTCTTCCCCCTGCAAGTGTAAAATTTGTTATTACAACTACTCCATCCACCTTAAAATGATTTCTTTGAGCTGCAGTCTTCAAAGGCATTTTAGGGAAATTATGATTCCAGGCAAGAAAGGTCTTATTCAGCTGTTATCCATAAACTTAACACTAGAATGATTATTAATGGCGGTGTTATAAAACCTGGTGGTCTTTATCAAATGTAAGGACTAATTTTACTCAGTATATTCTTCATTTTAAATATTTTTGAAGGCTGTTAAGTAGCATCAGTTGTGATCAGCATGTTACAAGACATTTTACGTATTTTGGCTTTACTGTACTGTACTTCTTGGACCTATCTGCTTTATACCAATGAAAGGCACACCAAGACCTAAGAAACTTCTTGAAATTCAGTCTGTGATTCTTGGCTAAATTAATCCAGAAAAAGATCCAAAATATTTTCTTAGTGAAGCTAATTTATCAGCCTTCAAATAAACAATGAGTCACTGTACTGGCTTCAATAGGTTGTGCAAGTTAGGTGCCTACACACGTGCAGCAAGGCTGCTCTGATGCGTTGTAATTACTCAGTTAATCAAATCTGCTGGAGTGTGGCAATTACCATGCTCCAGCAGACTCCAGAATCATGTGCATCAGCATCCCCATGCTGAAAAATGGTGACAGGCCATTTTAACTCAAGCTTGTTTGACAGACTTTAGTTCAGGGATGTCCAGCCTTTTTGAATGTGGGGCTGGATCATGAACTTTTTATCACCTAGTGAGCCAGCAAGCCATATTCAAAGACCTCACAGGAAGTGGTATCACATCAGGAAGTGATGTCACGTGACCTTTGACACCAATGTGGGAAGCCGGCTTCAGCTGCATGCTGCTTTTCCTGGCTAGTGCTGACCCGGGTGGGTCCATCCCATCTGGAGCAGCATGCAGCTGACACCAGGTTCCCATGTGCTACTGGGGATGGGAGGAGCCCGGCCAGGTCAGCACCGGCCATCAGAAGCGGCAGCAGAGCTGTGTGCTGCTCAGGGTGGGATGAGCCCAGCCGGAGCGGCAGGGGTTGAGCTGCACCTTCCCCTGCCTGCACCAGTCAGTCCTGAGCGGCACATGGCTCTGCCGCCGCTTCTGCTGGCTGGTGCCGACCCGGCCGGGTTCCTCCAGCAGCACGTGGGAATCTGGCTTCAGCTGCACGCTGCTCCGGATGGGACAGGCCCGCCTGGGTCGGCACCAGCCAGCAGAAGTGGCGGCGGAGCCATGTGCTGCTCGGGACTGACCAGCACAGGTAGGGGGAAAGTGCAGCTGAGCCCCTGCTGCTCCGACTGGGCTCATCCTGTTCCGAGAGGCACACGGCTACTCCTCTTCCCACACGTTCTGCGTTGGCAACGTCAAGCTGACCCGGTTCATGTGGGAACCTTGTCTCTTCCTCAGCCCTTCAGCAGCCACTAGGAAGCTGCTGAGGGGCTGGGAGAGGGGCAAGGGGTGGGAACAAAAGTAAACAGTGTTTACTTTCATTTCCTGTCGCAGCACCGCGGGCCACATAAACGGCTTGGCGGGCCACATGGCAGCCTGCAGGCCGTATGTTGGACAAGCCTGCTTTAGTTAAAGCGCCCCCACTGACATTTTTCAGTGCGAGGATGCTGATACACATGACACTCCAGGTGCTTCATTAAAGTGCAGCCTCTCCCTTCCCCCCTCCCCGCCGCCACTCCCAGAGCATGTGTATAAACATCTCATGGTAGTGGAACCTGTAGCCACCTAGTTATCCAGACACCAGGAACTGTACAAATACAGGCAGTCTATACTGTCACACACTACCTCATTACTGTGCCTTAATCCTAATCTGAAGTCACTGACTATGTCTAGGGATTAAGAAGGGTGTTCAGAACATATGCTTTTTAACACTGCCTCTGGATGAGGCCAGCACTTAAAGTCTTGACCAAGTCATGATTATTAAAAATCCCCTGGCACTCTCCAAAATGGAAGCATTATCTTCAATATATTGGTTAAATTTGAGAGTTGTTAATTATATCCTCCTTCCTGAATTCCTCTTGCACTGGAAAAGTTAATAATTTTACTCCTCTGTTTAACAGAGGGAATGTGGCTAGTGCAGAAATGGCTATATGTGAGTGAGTAATTCTTGTACAATGTTTAGAGTATTTACTTCAATATATATTGTGTTTCTTTTCATCTGAATTCACATAGTTAAAAATGGGGCATATGACGACATCCAGGGAAGTAAGGCATGCCAACCGTCACTGAGACGTTCAATGACTTGCCTAAAATCACAGAAGTAGTTAAGCTATGTTAGTCTCAAGTCAGATAGAAGGCAGGGTAGATGTACACCTTATAAACTAACTAAATATAGAGCATAAATTTTCATGAACTCAAGCTTACTTCATCAGATGCTGTGAAAAGGACAGCATATACATTGGTCAGTATATACACTGCTTTTTGCTGTCCTTCCACAGCATCTGATGACATGATCACAAGTTCATGAAAACTTATGCTCCATATATATCTTCCTTAGTTAGTCTAAGGTGTGTAAGTACCCTGCCTTTCCCCTAAAGTCAGCCAGGAAATCAGTGGCAAATACTGAATTAGAAACCCCAAGAATCTTAATGTCCACTTTTGGGATTTAACCACAAAACTATTCTTTCCCTTAGTATCAACTATCACAGTGGTAGTTTCCATCTTTTATATAGCAGGTGTACATCTATTATCAAGGAAGAAAGCAGTGAAATTATCCAAAATTCTCATGGAGTTTGAAATATCTCTATTTTTCTACTGGTATTTTAGTTTCTGTCTAACTTGTTCACACATGAATTTGGAATTCTAAATTCTAGGGTAAACACGCAACAAAAATGGTCATGTATTTCATTCTCAAGAAAGGACAAAGCATTAAACTCATTCACATTTTTGAATGCAGCTAGCTGCCAGTTCTCATTTCCGCTTTTCAGTCCATGGAAACAGATGTCAGATCAGAGAGAACAAGATAAGAATCATATAATATGAACTTTAAAACAAAACACACACCCACACACACACATACACACACACCCAAAACCCAACAAAAACAACAAACGTTTCTTTACTCTATTTTGGAAATATGTTTTCATGGAAAAAAATGAATGGAAAAGTAGTTAGCAGCCAGCAGAAGTTACCTGGCCATTAGACATAGCTTGCCTGATGGGTAGAGAAGTGTTGCTTTTCAAGCCACTTAATGGCTTTTGGGACTCAAAAAATCTTTATTTCTTTAGGTCGGAGAATCCAATTCATTTGTTACCCTTTTCAAGCAGGAAATATATTTTAAGGAAATATTCCTTTACTACATTTTTTTGTGATCTATAAAATGACTTTTGGCAAGGGGAAATCATCTAATGTTTTCCAAAGTATAATTTCTATAGATACTTGTGACAATCTGATTTTTCTTTCACTGAACCACATTTTCAAAGGGCTTTCAAAAATACCCCTACAACGGCAGATGAAGAAATTTTGTGCCAAGTTGTGCAAGTAGGCAGCTTATTCCTGTAAAACTGATTTTCATAGAAGCAATTAAGGAAACCCTTTAAAAATTCATTCCACAACTCCAGCTTTCTAAATGTACAAATCTCTCTCCCCCTCAGGATATATGCACCCATCTTTTAATTTTCCTATATTAGATGCAATGATAATTCAATGATGAAGAGTAAGGATGAGTAAATTAAGCACTCCTCTTTCAGCAATTATTTGCAAGTATGCTGATGTGATACAATTGTTGGACCATAGTACTGTTCTGAAGTGGTAGCTTTTTCTTTTTCATTTCTGGGGATCATCTGTACCATATTGAAACAGGGTGAACTCCCAACCCAGCTAACCTTTTGAAAGGTACTGGGAACCCTACTTACAGCGATTCTTGAAGCATCACACAGATACTAGTTTGTAACTATTGACTGAAAATAGTAACTAACTAACCTAAATCAGTTCAAGTTAATTGCACTGCACAAAACCAAACAGAAACTCTCCATAATTCTCAGCTGATAAATATTAAAATTAAGTTTAGTTGGGTTTAACAAATTAATTGATAAACCCCCCAGTCTGTAAATGATTTCTTCTTTCTTCTATGGAAATAAACTACTTTCAGTAATGAGCATGCCGACAGAAGGCATGTATTGTTGAAATATGAAATGTTTTCATGACCAAAAGGAATTCATCTTGTTTGTTGTGCATAGCCTTCTAAATGAATATAAGAACATGGCAATGTTTTAAAGAGTAGGATGGAATATTCCTATGGGATGAAAAAGCTAAATCACATATATTGGTCTGTATATTAATGAAACTCCCAAATCCAATAATTTGGCTGTTTTGCTTCTAGATGAACATAATGAAAGAAAACAAAAACAAAAGATGATGAAGGCTTATTAATGATGAAAAGGCTTGAGTTAAAACCCACTGAAATCAACCAACTTTCATGGAGTTCAAGCAGACTTTGGATCAGGCCCTAAGCCTTTTAAATGAGGCACATGGGTGTAGGAGTACCATAAACTTAACAAAAAGTAAATACTATTCATAAAATAGTGGTGTGTATATACATATACATTTGTATGCATCTACATACATACAGAACACACACCCTATATTTTCAGTTTATAAGAATTTTATTATTCTAGCACAGATAAAATCTCTTTGGTTTCAAAAGAAACAGACAACTGTGGCCAACTATTAAAATATATACAGTATTAAAAAGTATGGGTGCCCTATAAATCATACAGCAGTTAAAAAAACAAATCCAATTAGGTAGAACAGGCAGACATTTTTTGTAATTTTTTAAAATCCCTCTGCTGCTACTCTTACAAATATCTTCTGCAAGGACTGCATGGTGTTACAGGCACAATTTCATTAGCAATAATAGGAACTGTGAATGGAAAATTCTAAACACACGAGTGAAAAGAAACCCTACGAAATCTAAAGTACATGGGTGTACTAATTGCTAATAGTTTACAACTGTTAGCAATTAAACAAAAAAAAATAGAGAGGCACAACCCATATTTTCCATCCCTATTTTTACAAACATATTTGTTAGACCTTCCCACTTTACTGGTCAGGTCAGATTTAAGTCACAACCATGGCAGTCAATAGATCCTGGGGTCATGACTGCTCAGCTCATCAAGGCTTTTAGCATTACTCGGACAATGCTACCTTATAAAACAGCTTTAACCAGGGTTTGGACCTGTATTGTGAGTAAAAGAATAATAAGATAGCATCAGTCACACAGTATAACTGAATTATATTGCTCTAGATAGAATTTAGTAGGGCTTCACTCAATTTCATTCATCAATTTAGTACAAAAGAACACTTAAGCACAAGATACACTGGAAGCAGGGACCTCAGTCTTCTCTTTCTATGTCTACATTATGAAGGAGGGACAAAACAGAAAAAGAAAGGAAAACTAAGTGGCTTACTCCTAGCACAAGTCAACCATTTTTTTCTATAATACACTTACAATTTTTCCTCTGTCTTCATTCTCCTTTAAAAGTATACATAGCAGGCTACAACAGTTTGGTACTTTCAAATAGTTTGTTTGGTACAGGAGGAGGAAAAATAAATCAAAGTGAAAAACAATAAAACAAAGAACTTATAAAGAGAACATGTCTAAACTTTCCATGTTACTCCTCTTCACAAGTTACAACTGGGCTGATTTTAACATGTATCCATCACCCGTCCTTCCATATGTTGATCAGTAGAGCAAGGAATAAATCTGGTGCTTACCTGCTTCAGAGAGGTCTCTAAGGGAGCTGCTGAGTGCACTCCTTTTCAGTCCCTCTCCACTGGCATAGCTGTCATCCAGACAGGCTCTGTTCAGTGTCCCATTGCCAGATTCTTTTTTCAGGCTGGAGCACTGCGACATGCTTGGACGCACCACACCCTTCTGTTTTTCTAGCTCAGCTGAAACAAACAGAATAATTGTACAATTCATAGTCACTGATTAGAATAGGACAGAGCCAACCACATGGCAAACTAAATACAGTAAAAGCTTTGTTATCCAGCACCCATGGGGAATGGAGGGTGCCAGATAACAAAATATGCCGGATAACTGAGCGGCCCAAACAGGCGTCTTTGCCTGTTTGGGCCACTGCCTGTGCTGCCACATCTAGGGTGTTGCTGCCCCTCCTACTGCGTTGCCACCCCTCCCAGCATGTTGCTGCCCCTTCCCTGAGGGACAGGGAGGGGGGGGGACCTGCACAGCCTGCTATGCCCCCAGGCCGTGGGGGCTTGGCAGCACAGGCTGCTTTCCCCTAGGTCATGGGGGCTCTGCAAAACCAGAAGTACCACGGTCGGCACTTCCGGTTTCACTTTTCCCGGTTAACAGAGCATGCCGGCTTGTAAGGTGCCGGTTAACACAGCTTTTGCTGTAACAGTATTACAGCTTCAGTTCAGATGAAAGTTTGTTTTGTAACTGTACAACACATAGGGTGCATCCACATGTGTGCTTTACTGAAGAGTTGACTAATTAGTGCCACAGTAAAGCGTCATCATCTACATGTGCACCAGTATTAGGGCGTAGTAAACTAATGAACTCAGCCATAGGATAGTACTAAAACGCACATGTAGACAGTGACTAGGGGCATAAATTGACCTGGTCAGCTCAGCCTGCTCTGCCCCGGCTCAAATTGCTGCTGTCCTGGGTGCATGTGTAGACACTATGCACAGGAGCAGTTCACTCCAGCTCAGTGTGCTCCAGAGTTTATCATGCTGCATTAACTGCACATGTAGATGCACTTGGCCTCTGCCTCAGTGGCCTTATATAATATTATAAAGGATGGATTACTTTACAGTTGTTTTACAACTGATTACAACTTTACAGTTGTAATTTACACAATTAATTACCTCTCCTTATTAATCAGTTTTGCTGGTGGTTAAGGTTCCCACCCTTGCCAAAGTTTTAAAATTACTGTTTTATCTCTACAATAATATAAAAGGCACAGATGGAGAATTATAACATCTTTAAAAATAAGAACAGATTGCATACATATATTAAACATGTCTATCAATTTTGATTAGTTTGAAAATGCCCTGTTATATGTACCTTTGTACTTACACTCTATTCTGTGCTTTTCCATTTCTTGGACCTCTGCAATAGATTCCCTCAAATCATCTGTAAATTTCTTTCTGTCCTGAGGATTGGGTGCATTGAAATTTATTAGTACTTTGATATCTGCTCCTGGAACAGCTGATGTGAGCCGTATGCCATTTGGATAATCTAGGAGACAGAGGGGGAGGAGAAAGGGCAACATTATTTTAATTAGCTTCAATTGTGTTCTCTTCCATTATTATTTATTTTTCTCTAAATTCACTGTGTTAATAAATTTCAGATACAGAAGTCAAGAAATAAAATTTACAACTACAAAATTCCAAGACTAAAGAAAGCATTTTATCTGCCCAAGAACACAAACACATTTTCTAGAGGAACAAACATTTTTGTTTTATTCTGTTTTGTTTTAAGAGTAAGAGATGTCTCCTATTAGAATAATTACATAATTAGGAGAGATGTTAGACAAGATTCTGGGCAAAAAGTGCCCTTCTTCAAGGATTCGTAGATGCTAGGGTCGGAAGGGACCTCAACAGATCATCAAGTCCGACCCTCTGCCTAGGCAGGAAAGAGTGCTGGGGTCAAATGATCCCAGCCAGGTGCCTATCCAGCCTTCTCTTAAAGACCCCCAAGGCTGGGGAGAGCACCAGGTCTCTTGGAAGCCCATTCCAAATTTTGGCCACACGTACTGGGACAAAGTTTTTCCTGATATCTAGCCTAAATCTGCTCTGTCAGTTTGTGACCATTGTTCCTTGTTACCCCAAGAGGTACCCTGGTGAACAAAACAACCCTGATCCCTTGCTGTGTCCCCCTAATAAATTTGTAGGCGGCCACAAGATCACCTCTCAGCCTTCTCTTGCGGAGGCTGAAGAGGTCCAGTCCCTCAGTCTCTCCTCACAGGGCTTGTCCTATAAGCCCCTAACCATACTAGTGGCCTTCCTCTGGACCCTTTCGAGTCTATCAACATCCTTCTTGAAGTACGGCACGCCAAACTGGACGCAGTACTCCAACCACGGTCTGACCAATGCTGCATAGAGGGGAAGTATCACCTCCTTGGTTCTATTCGTCATGCATCTGCTGATGCATGATAAAGTGTGGTTGATTTCATCACACTGATGACTCATGTTCATCTTGGAGTCCACTATGACTTTGAGATCCCTTTCTGCTTCTGTGCTGCTGAGAGGGTCACTTCCCTGTCAGTAGATGTGCTGGATATTTTTGTGCCCTAGGTGCAGCACTCCACATCTGTCCTTGTTGTACTGCATCCTACTGTGTACTGCCCACTTTTCTAACCTGTCCAGGTCTGCCTGCAATCGTTCCCTACCTTCCGGAGTGTGCACTTCACCCCACAATTTAGTGTCGTCCACAAACTTGGACAGAGTACACTTCACACCCACATCCAAGTCACTGATGAAGAGATTGAAGAATCCAAGGACCAAACCCTTCAGGACCCCACTACCCACATTCTTCCAGGTCAATACTTTCGGCAAATAATTACTGCAGACTTATCAGAAGGAAAGTCTAAAAATAGGGGTGCACCGATAGAGATTTTTGGGGTTGATACCGATAGCCAAAATTTAAGGAGGCATATCGGCCAATACTGATCCGATTTCCAATACAGCTGCCTCCAGCTGGTAAGTCCAGTGTGGTAGAAGGGGAGAAGGGAGGGAAGAGGTGTGGTGGGGACAGATCAATGCCCTCCACAATGAGGGAGGGGGTAGGGGCAGGTGCTGACCAGGCGGGGTAAGGGGGGTGGAGCCGCAGCTTGTGTGAGGAGGGAGGCAGCCCCCGCTACTGCTTGCACCCTGGGAGGCACAGGGGAGCATGTGGCCCCCAGATCTGCATGGGGTGGGGTGGGGCAGGTTGCAGCCAGGGCTGCGCAGGGCTCTTCTTGATAGGGGCTGGGCTTGGAGTGGGCACCAGTGGCACTGGGAAGATGC